AAGACGAATATCAATGCATACAATAGAAATTAAGTTATTTATCAGTCTTATACCACATTTTTTTTAAAGGTCATATTAAACTACAATTGTAATGAGTCTGTCTTTTAAATGGATGCCAAATTGTGAAGTCTTCTACTCTAAATTTCAGTTTGTATATTACAATCAATCTAAATCACACACATGGTAAAGACTACGATGACAAGTTGTTTCTGTTCTTAGTTGCTGTTGAATTGATTCTAACTCAAATACTCCCATTCACAACAGAAGGAAACACTGCCCATGCCTGTACCTTCATCACAATTATTCCCATTGCCATTCTTGACCCCACCATTGCAGCCATTAGGTGAGTCCATCATGTCAATAGTCTTCTTCCTTTTTGTTCACCCTACATTTTACCAAGTATGATGCCCTATTCTAGCTAGTGGTCTCTCCTTATAACATATCCAAGTACATGAAATGAAGCTTCACCATCTTTGCTTTTAAGAATTTTCTGGATGTACTTTCCCCAAGAGATATTTGTTGTTTTGACAGTCAATAATATAATAATATATTTGCTAGCAGCATAACTCAAATACATCTACTATTTGTTCTTTTCATTATCCAGTTCTCATTATGCAGATGAGGTAACTGAAAATACTATGGCATGGGTATTTTCATATGCACCTGCACCTGAGTTCTCAAAGTGATATCTTTTCTTTTTAGCACCTTAAAGAGCTCTTTTGTAGCAGGTTCCTAAAATACACTGATTGATTTTTTAGCCATTCTTTCCTTGGGTATTCATTACAGATTCAAATAAAATGAATTTATTGGCAAATTCAGTCATTTCTCTCTTTATCGTGATGCTGACTATTGTTCAAATTGTGAGAATGTTTGTTTTCTTTATGGTGAGGTATAATCTATACTAAAAACTACAATCTTTGTAAGTACTTCAAATCCTTTTCATTTTCAGCAGGTAAGTTACTGTCTTCTGCCCACCACTGGTTGTTAATGAGTCTTTCTCCAAACTTCATATTATGAAGTTCTTTACTTATTCCACCTTCACAGATTATTTGCCCTGCATACAGATTTTATAAATATCAAGAAAAGATGCCATCATAAAACACATGTCTCCTAATTTTAATCCATAAAGCAACCCCTTGTTCTGCTTAAACAACTATCTCTTTGGCTATGTACACGTTCTGAAGGAATACATGTAGTTGAAACTTCTGAAAGGAAAGCAACAACCCGCACC